CCCACCCTTTTCTGCCCTCCTGTGCCAGGTCCTGCCCCCTGGGCTGTGGAGGCAGCTCCTCCTGTCCATGCTGGTCCAGCCAGGCTACAGCCCCGTGTCTGCTGCGGGCACAGAAATCTGGGACTGCATGTCACCCCCCGTGCCCCTTCCACACATAACCTATGCTTCCCTGCCCTGTGACATGTCTCCTATGCCCCTCTGCTTGCCTATGCCTCACCTACGCCTCCCCCTCCCCCCAATATACTTATGTATGTGGAACTGCTCTTCACCACGCTGCCTGGCTGCTACATGCATGTGTGCATGTGCATGTGGTACCCCCTACATTGAATTGGCCTCCTCCTGTTCGCCCCAGCACTAAGCAGCCCCTTGCAGGCTGGAACTCTGCCACCCTGCAAGGGAAACCTGCAGTTGCTATGTTTTTTCTCCTTTAAAGGAGAAAATGCATCTTTTTCTGCAGCAAATGAAACATCTGGATCCCTGCTTGATGATATGGAAAGCCTCAGAGGCAGGAGGCTTTCGAAGTTGTTATATGTGGTAAGTTCTATCATTTGACATTATTTTGATAAATTTAATAGTGGCATAAGGTTCACTTAATACTTTTCAACATATGCAGACAAAGAGACACAGAACTTGCCTTACAACAACTTGGGAAAGGTTCGACCTCATGCATATCTGGAAATGTACACCTTGTGGCTTATATTAAGCTATCAGATGAACAAAATAGCAGCTTTCTAAATCAGGGATTCTCAACCTGTAGCCTTCACACCAAATGTAGCCCACAGCCATTGCATCTGGCCCGGGGGACTCCCCACAGGTCAGAAAATTTGGCGCTGAAGGAGCAGTGGCTGTTAATATGGCCAACTTCCCCTCTGCCAAATCCTCAACGCCCATGTGGTAGGCCGGCCCAGGCTGCAACCCCTTCCTTTGTGGGGATCCCTTTTGGATCGGGGCCTGGCCACATGCCCTTCCCTCCCATTGGGGCTGAGCCATGGCCTCTTTCCTCTACTCACATCCTCTTCCCTCCCTGGGTTAGGACCTGGCCCACATCCCCTTCCCTCTCTGTGGGCCCAGGTCAAGCTCCTTTACCCTGTGGGGCTGCATAAGAGCTGGCCTGTTCCCTGCTCCCTTCCAGATGGCCAGATGGTGCCCACTGTGCCCGCCCAGCTGCCAGATTGGGAATACCGGCTGGGTCTGCTCATAAACGGACTTGGTGATGCCAGTCTGGTCCAGTGGGTAAGAAGGTTGAACACAACTGTTCTAAATAATTGCTAATGACTAATACTGTATTTCAGCCAGAATATTTTAAGAGATATAAGGGACTTCTGCTCTCTGCTGGTGTACCCTTTTAGTGCTTGCAGTTATGATGGAAGAGTTACTAATTGGCACATACATTGATAGAGTAGATATTGAGTTAGTTTCATTTTCCACAGATCTCTCATGGGTCTTTTCTGTGCTAACAATAAACATCGTTTCTCAGCAGATGCAAAGTTTGTTGTTGTTATTTAGACATTTGCATTGATGTTTGTAGCTGTCACTTTTGACAGCTGAGGGTTGTTTCATGTATGTGATCTGCAGTTACTCATTAGGTAAACCAGGAAAGATTATCCAGGCTTGAGACACTTGCAAGAAAAATCACAGATCCTATTAACAAAATATTTTTTCCCATCATAAGCTAAATTACATATTCAGGGAAAAAACACTTCATATGCAATGCAGCAGGTTTTCTGACATCCACTTTTCCTGCACTCTTCCTGGGTTCTCCCTTTTTTTTCCAGTTAGTATGATCTACATTGTGCCTCTAAATTTTTTTCTGCCCTAGGAAGATATACTTGTCAAATAAATCTCTCCCTGCTTCAGTGGCAGAGATGATTAGACATGGTACATTTTCCAGTTCTAAGCAATTGCCATAAGGCTCTCCCCCATTGTTACTACAGTTTTGATATCAACTTCCAAAGCTGGAGACTTTGTAGTGGTAAGATTTTCAGTTTTAGATTAGGAAGTGATTTATTTAGCCTTAGTAGTATAATTGGATCCTGGTACCTCCATGGTTGTGGGAAATTTTTTCCAGATAATCTTTTCAATGTTATTGATTTATTTATGTTTTGCTCCTTTATTGCTTTCATCTCTACAGTTCTATTAAGAATGCAGATAAGTGAGGGTTTGGCGAGCTGCATGATAAGTTAACATTTCAAAATATTAAAAGTTCAAAGTCCTGCTCTTTGAGCTAAACTGCTGTACCAGAATCTTTTCTTAGTTGGGAGCACAGGATTCCACAAAGTGTGCAACCAAAAAGCTAGAACCCAAGTGGGAATTTTACATAGTGTAATGAAGAGGAATAAATAGTGAGATATTAGGTATACTTGTACCCAGTGAATCAGCAAAATTGAGGAAAAATAGACAAATGCTGCAAAAATCTGTGTGCGCTTATTTGAATTAAAAACAATTTGTTCTGTCCGCGTTTTCACCTGTGGGATAAGCATTGTTTCATCTCCAGTTGTGTTTTTTTCATAGATTGTGGATGAGGATTGGTTGGTGGAGGCCAACAGCTGAGAGTAGTTTTAAAAGCTCTGCCTACAAAGCAAACCTGGTCCATGTAAAATACCGTTGTGCAGATATTCAGAATATGACTGCATGCTCCTTGGGCGTATCTCACCCTTGATGGATTCTGCTCAGTTCCATGCGCTGTTTTCTTTTGGTGATTCTTATATTTCCTGCAAGGTTTCTTGAGTTTATCTCTCTTCAAGTGGCTTGGGGGCTGCATTTGTTTCGTTCTTGATTGAAAGTGTAAAAAAGTATCACTCAAATCCATTTAGCAGTAGTACCAATATGTGCTGTTGCAGTAAACTGTTCAGATCTTCTTAATACAAACAAAGCACTCTTTTTCTTACGTGTGTGGAAAAGCATTGTGTTAACTTACATGCCAGTGGAAATATTTTAAATGCTGACATCAGTAATGTTCACTGAAATAAATGGGCAGGCAGAAGTCTCCTTTCAGAGCTATTGTTTCAGGTTTTGCAAATCCAGGCATCTATTCCTGCATCACTTAATCTGTTAAATGGGAAAGCTTCATGTTAATGGGAACTCACCAGAGAAGTTAGTCTGGGTGTTACTATTCCCATGAATCCATTTGTTCACAATCCTATGAGTATGTCAGTTCCAGGGCTGCTTCTGGAACATCAGATAGATCCAAAAAAGACACTTTCCCCATTGTATCTGCCTAGAAAAGAATGGAATTTGGTACTGTCACTTGTGCTTTTGTCACTCTCATTTGTGCTTTTGTAGGACTATAAATTATTATACTATGGTCAACCTAAGCTGCACTTATAAGTTCAAACTTGTATAAGTAAAACTGCTCTATCATCTGAGTATTGTGCCACGTATGAATCATCATAACACACCAGTTCTCAGTAATTGTACTGGTTTTCAGGTAAAGTTAAAGGTTATTTATTTACTGGTTACCTGAAGGACTGCCTTTCTGGATGGGTCATTCTTCTGTAGTTTCAATCAGTGGAAATTCCAAAGCTGGACGTCCTTTAATACAAATGTGGGAGCAACTGCTCCATGACACACACATTCTCAGTTCTGGAATTTTGCTTCCCCTGTGCTTCCAACAAATCCTGCACTTACAGCCTTTTGAGCATTCATTCAAGTATAATTTTTATTGTAACCATTCAGGTGATCTAGGTTTCTTAAGGGACTAGAAACTGAAAGGTAATTTGGAGGATTCATCTGATGTGGGTGAGTGCAGTGCCATTAGATTTCTGTGTTACAGGGATTAATCAGTGTTGTACTAAAAATATTTAATCTTTTGATGGACTCTAAACACAATTTTTGTAATTAATACCATCTACTCTCATGCAGTTACTTTGCACCATAGACTGTGATGGTAAAATAGGGAAATTAATAATGTAATAGTAAGCAAAATTTATTTTGAGACTGGGACACTCCTTAATGCAGCAGAGGACAGGATTCCCCAAGCCAGGTGCCAGCAGTAAAGCAATCAAATGAGCATGACAGAGGTTTGACTACACTGTTCATAGGTTATGATCATGACTGACTTGCACATGACCACTGTTTTATGTGAACTAAAGAGAAACTAAATCTAGTGATGTGTCCAGGAATCATGTTGGGGCTGGGCAGTGTCGCTCAAAAAGCAAAAGCATTTTTTAAAATATGGTAATTTTGTGAGCTTCTTAAAAATGAAATGTCTACCTTTTCTTTAAATTGGATTCAGTGCTTCAGTGGCTTCCCCAAACCCTCAGATAATAAAACTTCTATTTTCTTCTGTTCAGGGAAGAAAAACGGTGCTTTGCAATGATCTAATGTACTGCAGCTAAGCCACAAATCTTGCATTTTGAATATGGAATGACAGATACTCTCAGTGAATTGTTTAACAGGCTCGGTTCCTAGAGTTAAAATATGAAAAAGGTGTTGATTAGCTTTGAAGACATCGTCTGCTTGTACACACACTGTAAATTAAAAAAGAGGCACATATTTTAAAATAAAATAATTAATTGACCTCAAAAGTATATATGTAAAATTAAAATCTGTAATCCACTGATTTGGCTTCAGTTCTCTGCTTACCTTCTTTGGGGCATTCAAATGAATTGTTTGTTTTATGAAGTCTCTCTGCTTGCCTAATTAAGAGATAAGAAATTACATGGCATTATGTTTAAATCGTTTAAACTGACTTTGTTTATGCTGTTCTTTTCTGTAGAGGGACTAGATGAAATCGAGAATGAACTCCTAAAGTGTGAGGCTTGTGGAAAAATGGGATATGCTAGTAAATTCCTACGGTCAAAGCGATTCTGCTCCCTGTCCTGTGCCAAAAGGTATTCTGCATTATTAAAGATATTTATAATCATGATGAGGCATACTGAGGTTAATAAGCATGATCGTATACCAACAGTATGTCTGGGAATGAAAAATAAATAATGTACAATAACCAGGTTGATGCTCTAGATCTTCCAAAATGTATGACGGCTGCAGCACAGTTCAAAATAATTAAAAAAAAAAATGGTGAAAATTGGGAACAATGTGGTCTGTTACTTGATGAAATAATCTCCTAAAGTGATCTGACTGTAGCCCTGGGCACAGTGTGGCCTTGTGAATAGAGCACTGGCTTGAGATGGAGTAAACCCGAGTTTTAGTCCAATCTTGCTTTTGGTCTGCTGCTAGGACTGGAATAGGTACTGCAAGTATTAGTCCTGTACTGGCTGGGAGGTAGACCTTCCCATGTCTGATTGCTATGATTGTATTACTTAGGTTCTGAGAGATTATTAAGAACGTATAATGTGGCTCATGAGGCTCCCTGCCAGCTTTTGTTGATGAGGGAAAAGAAATTTCTTAGCAAATAGTTCCCTTTATGATATTGCTTCCTCAAAGTTAGCAGCATCTCTCTTTGTCTTGGAAGCTGTGGAATTAGTTACGTTAATAAAAAGATAATATTAGTGGACTTGCACATTCCTGAACATCTTGGAAATAAAGTTGTATTTATTTCCTAATTATACCTCAGTTTGTTTTTCTGTCAGCAGGGGTTTTTCAGCCACCTCTCTTACGTCAGCTTAGGCCTTCTGTTCCTATAGTGTCTTGACAAGTGGCGTTCAGACTAATTCTTCAACTTGTACGTGCTTTTACATCTCAAACCAGAGCAATCAAAATTATAGTCTCAAAGCTCATTTACTGGAGGAATCTTTGTCGGCTTTTTTGGTTCTAGATAATTTCAGATGATACCTCTTGATGAGGAAAATCAAAATCCTCTGCTCATCACTGACTGGGACAGAAGTGGCCGTTTTTCTCTGTTGATACAGATTATAAAATGCCCCACCATTTGAACACTTGGCTCATAAGAATTGCCTAAGTAGGTGGGATTCACAGCAGGAAAAACAGCAAGTTCCTTCTTCAGCTCTTTTGGGTAAAGAATATGTGTAGAAAAGTTTAGCTCAGATACTAAAATGTATAGGGAAGTGGTTTCCAAAGTACTGGCAATGACTGCAAGTGGGATTGCAAGCCCTACAGACACTTTAATTCTTTTTTTCCATTTGAAAATTTGAAACTTTTTATTTAGCTCATCTGATAGGTAACTGCTTTCTCCATCATCCTTTCCTGAAGACTATTTTTTGACTATGTTCTTAAGATGTATTCTCCTTTCCAGAAATTTAAGCAAGAACAATTTAATGTTAGCCTTTAATTTCATGAACCATATGATTTATGATGGGGTGCCAGATTGTGTTATCTCTTTTTACAGAAAATATAACCTTTTCTGTAAATTACCTAAATTGTTTGTGACATTGGTGAGAGAACCTGAGGACTTTATTGTAATTTAAAAATAACCCAAAGAGGTCAAATGATCTATTCAGTTCTCTTATTATCTGGCTAGAATTACTGTACCAGAAAAATTTAGCACGTAAACTTTACTGCAGATTAACTTGAAGAATAACTAAATTGTTTCTCTTAACTGGAGTGTTTTCCACCCATACAAACCCTTAGACTTTACCAAGGTAGTGGTTTGCATGTAAACTGGTTGGCTTATCAGGGAGAATAGGCTAAACCCAAATTATCTATCACATCTGATTTACTGTTAACAGAGCCACTCTTCAGTGTGAGTGCAAGCTATTTCTGTTTGAGTGATACTAGTCCTTTTAACGTACCCAGAATGAAAAGAGAAGTTCTCCCAGGGTGTCTGAGAGAGAATTTATGAAGTAGATCTCCTCCTTAGGGAAGCATGAGACAGGGTTATATCCCCAGAAGTCTTAGCTCTGTTTCTGATTCAGTGCATTACCATTGTGAACACTGTAGATCAAGTTCTAGTTTGCAGTGTGGCTGCTCTTATCTAAAGCTAAACTAACACAAGGGAAGTAAATTGAGTATTTATAATTCCAGCAAATTCTGCCGGCAGGGAGAAAAGATTAAATGCTCATTATGCAGGAACCAGCGCTTTGCTTTTTTTGTCCTTTTTTGACAAGGTCACCATCTTAATGGATTAAATAGATGTATAGTAGATGATATAGTAGATGTGATATAGCTTGACTTTAGTACTGTTCTTGACAGTCTCTCATGACATTCTCAGAAGTTTCCTGAGTTTAGATGAAGTAACTGTAAAACAGGGCACAACTGGTTGAAAATCTGTATTTCACGAGTAGTTATCAGTGGTTTGCTAACAAACAGGAAAGGCTTATCAAATTGGGGCCCTGAAAAGGGTTGTCCTGGGTCCTGTAATAGCCAATATTTTCATTTATGACTTGGATAATGGACTAAAGAGTATGCTTAAGATGGCAACAAGGTCAGAGGACTTATAAGCATGTTGGAGAATGAGGTCAGAAGTCGAAAAGATCCTGCCAAATTGATCAAAAAACTAAAAAGATGAAATTCAATAAAGAAAAGTACAAAGTAATACTTTTGGGAAGGAAATAACTTCATAGATACAAAATAGGAAGTATCTAGCTAGGCGTCGGGACAGCAGAAAAGGACCAGGGGTTAGAGTGGTCACCAATTGCATGTGAATGAATAATGTGATCCAGGTGTCATTCTCTGATGTATTCATTTTCTGATCTATTAATAAGAGTGTCATATGCAAGGCACAGGAGGTAATTGCTCTACTGAGCACTAGTGTGCTGGAGCTGTCTAGGAGGGTGCAAAAGAGAAATCGGAACAATAAAAAGCTTAGAAACAAGACTCATGACAATGTTGAAAGATTTGATTTCAGTTAGTCTGGAAAAAGGTAGACTGAGGGGGGATCTAAGTCTTTCAATATATAAAAGACTGGTCTAAAGAGAACAATTGTGCTCCATTTCTGCCAAGGGTAGAGTGAGAAGTAATTATTTTATATTTACAGCAAGGGAGATTTAGATTAGACATGAGAAGCATTGGCAAAGCACAGGCATAGGCTCCTAAGGAAGCTATGGAATCAGTGTCTTAAGGACAGATTAGACAAATACTTTGGAAGGGTGGTTTGAATGTACTTGATCTGACCTCAGAACACTAGGACAGATTGAATGACTTTTGAAATCCCTACCACAATCTTATATTTCTGTGATAGTTATTATCTTTAAGTAACATTTCTATATGAAGCACATAATGTCATTTTTAAAAAATCCATGAATTCAAATTATTATCTTATTGAATATATTTTGCTTCCTTAGGCACAGTGGTAGATGTGCTAAGAAATACGGACTGTTCTCATCAGACAAATCCAGTCGTTGGAATCGGAAGTCAGATAGCCAAAGTCTTGGACAGCGTGGGCGTCGACCAACTGGCCCGGATGGGGCATCACGAGAGCACTTCCTTAGACAGGTCTGTAGAATGTTTGCCTAAAACTAAATCACCATTTAAAAAGTTGTAAAGAAAATATAATACTGTAGTTTATTTGTACTGCATTTTCCAGCTTCCAATTACTTATCCATCTGCAGAAGATTTGGCTTCTCATGAAGATGCTGTGCCAACTGCTATGACCACGAGAACGTGAACTTCGGGAACTCAGGATAAGGAAACTACCAGAGAATATTGACTTGCTACCAGCTGTGCAAGCTGATCCATCAGTGTGGACAGTTGATGAAGTTTGGGCCTTTATACATTCTTTGCCTGGTATGTAATGTGAAGTTTTTTTTTTTCTGTTTTGGGGTTTGTTTGTTTTTTTACAGTTTTGCAGCAGTAAAAAATGTACTGTTAGCATGGCTGTGAAGGAGTGGTAATATGGTAACACCACACGGGTGTCGTTAGTTGGTGGTACAGAATAAAAATGACTTGTTTCCCTCTTGCTTGTTCCTTCATCCCACCTGGGTTTCCCCTCCAAAATCTCACATTGATAGAACTAGTCCCACCTCTGCAGTAGCACCCTAGCTGATGGAGAGTAAAGGTGTTCCTCTTTTCAGTCTGATTTCTCTCGAGGTTGGTTGAAGGATTGAATTGAAGACATTTCCTCCCTTTTATGCTTTTCTTCTGTTTCTGTTCTCTTCCCTACTTACCTGCTCTTCATTCAAAAGAGAAAGCAAGAAAGGGGCTCTAATTTCCCTATACATTAATTAGAAAGAGTAAAGATCTTTCATGATATAAAAGCTGTTTTAATACATATGGTTTTCTAGAATCCAGAAAACCTCTAAAAATGCACATAATAGAAGATGAAATCAATTGCAGTATACTAGAGGTATCTTTATATTTAAGATACCTGCATGGACAAAAGAGTGTTCTTTATGGGTAGGCAAATGTGAGCTAGAAGAACCCAACTGAACAAATGTAAAATAACCAGACGGTGGTGAAAAGATAGCTATGAACTTTGAGCAATTACACTCTAATACCTCTGATGAAGTTCCTGACTCTTCATTTACACAATTTTTCTTCTAACTCAAAGTTCATTGCTATCTTTTCACCACCATCTGGTTATTTTACATTTGTTCAGTTGAGCTTTTCTAGCTTATATTTGCTACCCATAAAGAACATTCTTTTGTCCATGCAGGTATCTTAAGTTTTGCTAGTAGTAAGACTGAGCTCTTTAGATGAAGCAGTGCAACATTCTTCTTTCACCTAAACTAGCCACTCCCATCTCTAATCATTGAAACTTAAACTGTCTCTGTACCAGTTGTACCCTCTTCCAGGTTTATGGTTATTTCAAACCATTCTTTTAAAAAATATTTCAGTAGGGCAATTCTCTTGGGGAAATGTATCTTTGTTTTGGGTCATATAATACCTTTTTTTACCAGCTTCGGCCCAGATCCTTCTCCCCCTCTTAAGATATCTAAGTGGCACTTACATGGATTTTAGTTATCTTAAAGGCACTAAATGTGATCCTGTCTGATCCTATGGAACAATCAGCATTCAGTTAGGATCTCTAGGATGCTCCGAAGTGATCTAGTAAAGCCATGCATGCTTTATGGCAATTCAGTTCTATCTAAGAAAGTGCATACATTATGTGTAAAGTTATCCTTAGCTGGAGAAAAACTATTGAGTAACATTGTCTCCAGTTCCCAATGGTGTGTATTCATTTTATTAAATGAAAATTTAATACAGTAGTTTGAGGGCTAGGTCTTCCTCTTTCCCAAAACAGTACTCACTTCAGTGGGCCACAGAGCTCTGCCCTCTTTCTTCCCATTTTTCTTGCCCCGTAACTTTCTTAGCTGCCCCGTAAGTCAGCTTCAACAGGAGGAGTGAATGATGCCCTGCCTAGTAATGGCCTATTGATTAGTTTACTGTTATAGGAACGGGGATTTCTAAGTTCAGACCCCTTCATGGCAAAGCAGGGCAAACACCCAGCTCTCATGGCCAGAGTAAGTGCATTAACCATTGGGCTGTTGGGCAAAAAGGTAAGTACTGTCTGTTTCTGCCCTCCATTTTCTTTGTGCTGAAGTCAGTGCTGTTGTCTTCTAGTTAGACCGAGGCTCAGGTAGTCATCTCATAGAATTGTAGAGTTGGAAGGAACCTCCAGGGTTATCTGGTCCAACCTTGAGACCGGCTCTCTCAGGAGCTGTATTTCCCTTCTCAGTTGGCAGAATTGATTTGGCTCTCAACATGATCAGCATGATCAGGGCTGTCCAACTTGCAGCCCATGAGCCCATATGCAGCCTATAAAGGCTTAATTTGCGGCCCTCAGGCTCCTCCCCAATAGTTATGGTCTCCAGGCTTTTCTTTCCTCTGATCTTTGCTTCCTACCTCTGCCCAAGAAGGGGGCATGGTGCAACATGCTGCAGCATGGGACGTCTGAACAGCACAGTGCAGTTTGCATGGCATGTGGTGCCTGACTGCTTAAAACTGGATGGCCCTGAACTCTGCCCCTTAAGAGAATGTCTTCGTGGGCAGAACAGGACTCATCTCTGGAGTCCCATTGCCGACATATGAGAACCCTGCAATTCCTCGAGGTTAACAGGATATAAGTTTGGAGGTGCAGTAGACTATTGAAAGAATGGGAAAGCTGTGCATCTTTTGGAGTCAAACAAAATCTTTCTCCTGAGATAGGCTTGTACTTTTGGGATGAGTGGAATGTTTAGACAGCAGAGTAGGATCTGGGCTTTTATAAAGTATTTCACTCTAAATAGAAGACATTGATCTCAGACAAGGAAGTGAGGATTATATAAAGGTAAGTCTTATGTCCCCAAAAGCTAGCATTGATTCAGTCTTTCTAGTAAATTCATGTTTTATCTACCCTGGGATAATTTTTAACTACCATATTTCCTCAAATAGAAGATGACCCTGATTACATGTGATCAGTCCTGTGATGCTCCAAAATTTTATATGCAGATGAGGCACAGGACAGCCTGGTCCAGCATCACTTTGTGGAGGGCAGGGCCACACTAATCATATATGCCAGGCTGAGAGAGGGGGCTGCCAGAGGGTTTCTGGGTATGTAGTGTTCTGACTCGCTATGAAAAAGAGTTGGTGGTAACAGGGACTGCTCTTAATGGACACTACCATATGTTTTATTCAGATGAGTTGCACTTAACTTATCCTTGTGACTGAAAAGAGGACGTATTCATTCTTGTATAGGATTGAAATACGAAGGGTTTACTGTTGGGTTCAGGATTAGTCAGTTGTTCTTATAGGAAGTATGGTGCCCAATTTTGTTGGCACTATTTTTTGTTTTGTTTCTTTTTTAAACTCTAGTGAGTACTCCCTTTTCATTTTATAGTTTCTTAATAAAGACAAAAAGCTGAAAATGCAAAGATGTCAAGAAAATAAATTTAAAGAAGAAATAGTCAATCTGGAATGGAAGCTGGAATATACATTTTTAAAAGCATCTGAAAGGCTGTAGGAAGAAAAATAGGACAGTTAAATGGACAGTTATATTTCTAAATATATAGATTAATCTGAAAACAACAGAAATATGATTATAAGGGAAAGAGAAGCTTTAAATTATAATTGAAAATAAAACAAAGTCTTTAATTTATTATCCATACACAGAAAGGTACCAAACAATATGGTATAGTGGTTGTCTGTTTATCAAATATCCAGGACATCTGTCAAGGAACTATTCTCTTTTTCTTTTGTCCTTCCTTAGAAAAGGCTGTCAATTATTTGGGACAGTGCTTTGCATGGAATGTCCCCATTTCCTATATTAAACATACAGGCATATATCAATGATATGAGTACAAATTACCTTTCAAGAATGTTAGTATTAAAAGAAGGGTAAGGAAGGGAATAATCTCAGATAAACAGGTTGCACTTCTAAAGGAAGGTTTCCAACTATTTTAACTCTGCTTCACTGAGATGCCAGCATCTTTCCAACTGTGCATGAAGGCTATTAACTCATCACAAATCTATGGCTGTAATAAGTGGTTTTGTAGGGGAAATTCTGCTATATATTCATAGCGTGGAATTTTCAATATTCCACCCAGTAGAGTAGCGCAGGAGGATCCTGGAATAGAACTGCTTTGGAAATAATAGGTAAGTAATGTTTCCTGATCTTTTGGGATTTGAATTGTTCTCACAGAATGAATGCGATCTCCTGCTGGAAAAAACCCAGAAGAACGATGCTTTCTTTTATTTAATAGGTATTTCTGTCTTTATTTCAAGCCCTTCCAAAGAATACTAAGATCACAGCGATCTTTCTTTTAAATGAAGTAAGACTCAATTGTCTTGCTTACAAGGATGTCTTAATTTTGCCTCAGTAGGGGCTGTATGTGTAGATAATGCTCAGATGAGCTTAGGAGTCCAAAAATCATGTTGTTTAACTCTTTTACTCCTCAAGGTGTAGTCATTGGGAATTACTATTCTAGTGTGAACAAGGGCATTGTACCTGTTAATGCATATGTCTAACTGACTATTATTATTTATTCTTTTGTAGGTTGTCAAGACATTGCAGATGAATTTAGAGCACAAGAGATTGATGGACAAGCTCTCCTCTTGTTAAAAGAGGATCACTTAATGAGTGCAATGAACATAAAGTTGGGGCCTGCACTGAAAATTTGTGCACGCATCAACTCATTGAAGGAATCGTAGTGGGAACGTGACGCTTTAGATAACAGCCTCTCTCTCTGAAAGACCCGTACAGTAATAAGCCAGTATCTACACTATGGCATGACTATTACTGTGATATTTTGACAAAGTTTTTTTCATACAAAGACTTTGAAATTATTTCTCCAAATACACCATATAATCCTCCCTACCTTCCAGTAATTATCAGGCTTATGGTAAACCATTAGCAAGACTGGGGAATCATTCCAGTAAAGTGGAGGGTGAGGCAGATTAATGAAAACAAAAGTATAATATGTTGCGGTAGATGAAACTTCCCAAAATGTTCTTTATTATACAAGTTTAAGATTTTTTTAAAACATAATCTGATGGTCATTTAAATTATGTTAATATATTCTGAAAGATACATTTTCCCATGTAGAGAGTTTTTTAGACTATGGAATAACAGAAGAGTCCACAGAGTCTGTGGAAGCACTGATTATGGTAAAATGCTATGCATTTAGTTGTGCTCTCTGAGTTTCTTTTAATCTTGAGCCTATTGTTTGAAGGGAATTTTGACAAACCTATTCTCTGATAGGCTAATCTTCTGCCATTTTAATGTTTTGTTCATGTTTGGAAGCGTTCTATAAAATCTAGGATATTCATCATAATCCTCGTGTATGCAATGCTAGACCTACTGATTTGCGAATGGCATGACACTCTTCCCAGAGAGTACAGAAGCACATACGTTACTTTTATTGTTTGTATGCTGCTATGCACTAAGAGGGCATTAAGTTGTTATACTTGTTTTGCTTGCTGCTAGGTAACTTAGACCAAAGGAGTCAACACACACATGGGCTGAAAGGAAAGTGTGTCAATGTGTGGCTCCTATTTAACAAATGACCCTGTAGTAGTAGTAGGCAACTCTCAGTCCTTGTGGAGCATGGTGTATGCATCAGAGGTCACCAGGACCTTCCACACACATGCTTAGGCAGGAGTGTGAAGGCTGCCCAGACCTTCAATCTCCCTTTAGACCATTGAGACAGAATCCAAAGGCCAGACCAAGTACAGATGTTTGGTACCTTGATGGCTGTAGCTATGTGCATGTCCAGGAATAAAACCCAGGTCTCTCACATGGCAGATAAGGATTCTACCACTGAACCACAACAGCAGGTTGAGCAAGTTAAAACTACAGAAAAAAATCTGTCCTTAAGTAGATCTAGCACTGTTTTTCTCAACAGATTTTTGCAGGTATCTTCTAGAGGTCAACATTAGATCTCTTGCTTTGCATTAGAATCTCCCGAACTTCATAAAACAGAGATTTCAGTTCTGATATTTTCTATCAACCCCTAAGGCTGCAAATTAGGGTTGCACATGTTACCTATTAATGCGAAATGTATGAGGAGAGCTCTGAACCCAGAGCACCAAAGGATTTAGAAAAGAGCTAGCAGCTGGGTTTTTTCTAAGCACTTTCTAGATTTGTTGTTGTTTTGTTTCCCCCACATCCATTGATGTACAGAAGATCAGTCTCCCTTTCTTTTAGTTGATATGGTTAATTTTGAAGGTAAAATGAGGGAGATTTTGAGTTCTGGTGTAAAGCATTTCTGCTTTCTGATTTCTGGTTTGATGAGCCAGTAGAAAACTACAGCTCTCTCAGCTATGGTTTTATCAAAATGCTTATTATTTTTATACAAAAATATTACTGGCTAACTTTTAATCTTTTGTTTGTGGTGGTACACTTTATAATATCAGACAAAGAATATGGATTACCTGTGAATTAATAATGACATCTGGTATGTTAGGAACATGTGGTCTTGTATTGTGTATACTATCTTCTAGACCTACAGTTTAGTGTAATGTTTTGTGCATGTTAACTTCATTATTATTTTGATTTATTGGCCAGATTTCAGAATAATTTCTTCAGTTTGTTGTTATACAGGACTGAATTATTAAGGGATTGCTAGAACCTCACAGTCATCCTGGTTTAAGCGCACACACCTTCTTACTCTTGATGTACTACATGTTATATATAAATTCTTTATAGAGCTTGCATAACCACAGAACACTCACTACTTCTGCTTTAAAGCTTAATGAATGGAAGAAATGAAAATGTATGCCTTGTCTACATCTAAATATTTTACTGCTTCAGCTGTGTTGGCATAGTTAAAGCAACAAAAAGCCCCCAGATCCCATCAGGCTGCCTCTGGACATTATGGGTCTGTGCCCGTACACATACTGAATACATGTGCAGTAAGCCTGCTCTAAGATGTTCCAGTTAGAACATGATGGAGTAAACTCAATTAATTAGAACGCTCCAGCAGCCTTGCTGTCATGTGTATTCAGCATCCCGGCACTTAAAAATGGCAGCGAGGGTGCTTTAACTAAAGCTTGCTGAATGAGTTTTAGTTAAAGCACCCCCACAACCATTCTGAAGTGCAAGATGCTGAATACACAAGATGCTGAGGGAATTTTAATTAGAGTGGCTCCCAAGAGCATGTGTATAGACATGTAACACTAATATTGTAGTGTTACAAACTTTGTAGCACTCCAGAATAATAAGCAATATGGACCACATGTTCAGAGGTCCCTGGCATGCTCTTTAGCCATGGAGCCTATCAGTGAGTTGCAGGCAGGCTCACTGATAGGCTTGCAAGCCAGGTTCCTAGGCAGCTTGAAAGCCCACCTTTTCTTGGGTTTCCAAGGAGCCTTTCAAAGGTCTTGATGCTTTAATGGGCTGCAGGTGCCATCACTATTGTCCCTTTAAACTTCCCAGGCTGCAGGCATCCCCCTCACCCTTACTGTTGGGCAGCAAAGGTGAATTGCGTTCATAGATTCATAGATGATAGGGTCGGAAGGGACCTCAATAGATCATCAAGTCCGACCCCCTGCATAGGCAGGAAAGAAAGTTCTTCCTAATATCCAATCTAAATCTGCTCTCTGCTAGCTTGTGGCCATTATTTCTTGTAACCCCCGGGGGCGCCTTGGTGAATAAAACCTCACCAATTCCCTTCTGTGCCCCCGTGACGAACTTCTAGGCAGCCACAAGGTCACCTCTCAGCCTTCTCTTGCAGAGGCTGAAAGGGTCCAGGTTCTCTATTCTCTCCTCGTAGGGCTTGGTCTGCAAGCCCTTAACCATATGAGTGGCCCTTCTCTGGACCCTCTCCAGGTTATCCGCATCCCTCTTGAAGTGCGGCGCCCAGAATTGCACGCAGTACTCCAGCTGCGGTCTGACCAGTGCCCGATAGAGGGGAAGTATCACCTCCTTGGATCTATTCGTCATGCATCTGCTGATGCATGATAAAGTGCCATTGGCTTTTCTGATGGCTTCGTCACACTGCCAACTCATGTTCATCTTGGAGTCCACTAGGACTCCAAGATCCCTTTCCACTTCCGTGCCACCCAGCAGGTCATTCCCTAGGCAGTAGGTGTGCTGGACATTTTTCCTCCCTAGGTGCAGCACTTTGCATTTCTCCTTTCGAGTCTCTGGTGGCAGCAAGGGCTGAGCATCTCCAACACACCAGGACATGACAGAAGTGGTTTCAACAGCAACTTCTTTCTCATGGATGTGCCACTTTTGTCCTGGGACAAATTCCTTTTAACTTGTGGCATGTTACCATTTGTTGCGGGACACTCACGTATATCCTACAACAAATGTAATGTCTGGAGGGAGCTTTATAACACAATCCTCACATCCTTCTAGCCATAGTTATGCTGGAAGAAACTTTTCAAATATAGACCAAGCTTATTGCACCACTTCATGAATTTATTCTGTACTCAGAGGAGCATTTGGAATAAAATCCAACTTTCCTATTCTTGGTATCGGTCATCAACTGCTAGAAAGGACAAATAAGGTCCCTTAGAACGTCAGATGCAAACACCTATAGAAAAGAAATGGTAGCTACTAAAGGGAGTATTTTAGTAGGTGTACAGTAGCCATAATCCTTTTAGATCATATTGGGGTGACACACAGGGGGTGCACGTGGGTGCATGTGCACCCCCTGTAAAAGGTGCCGCCAACACTGGTGGTGCCTGCAGGCAGTCCCTGATAAAAAGTATCCTGCCAATATTTTACTCTTTCTTTGCTTAAAGCCCTTGGTGTTACTAACTTTAATAGGGCTACTCATGCTTTAAGTGAAGCATGTCCATAAGAATTGACAGGATCCAGGCCTGGATCAGTATTATTTGAAGGAGAGAGTTGCTGTCACCATTTCAGTTGGGAATTTAGTACTCAGTAACTGGACAGAGCTCTCGGCATTGGCTACTTTAGATTTCAGATAATGACTCCTGAATAGTGTTTATTTTACAGAAAGTCTGTATTCTTAATATATGCAATTGATCAAACAAAAGTAGGAGCTTTGGTTTTCTTTAAAATAACTTTAAATAAATTATTCCTATTGAATTCTGAGTAGACTTTAGGACTGAAAAGATTTTCAGTCTGAGATGTTATTAATTATTCCTGTGTAAGTAATTGTGATGTATTTTAAAGTTGGTTTTGCACTTTTGAGCTATAGTTTCAGTCAAAAATATTTTAAAGAGATTTAAACTATAAGAAACAAAGATACAAACTGTAGAAATCATTTAAGCTAAGCAAACTTGTACATTTTAAAGGAGCTGGGGTTTAATCATGAGGCTTTCCTTAGAGATAATGGGTTTTTTGGGCTAGATCTAGCAGACTGCTTTGAAAATACAGCATCATTTTTTTTAAACAATATTAATCCCAATATTATTTTCAAGCTCTTCTGTACACTGAAATGTTGAAGCTGTGTTTGGGAGGTGTCACTGTACCCTTATACTAAAAAAAAGTAGATTTACAGACTCCTCACATGCCATGTCTCTAAACGGAAGACTGTCATTTTTGATTGATAGGGTAGGATACACATGCAACTGACATGGATAAAACCTTCCCACTGCAGGTCAGAGAGCAGTTAATATGAGAGAATACTAATGAGGTACAAATTCAGAGCAAGATTCATCTACTTCCTCAGTCAAGGGAAAAACATATGCCCAAATCATATAATAATTATACGGAAACAGGCACAATATTCTCATTAAAGCTCTGCAGGTTTTTCTCACATTTTTTATCTGAAATGCTCCTTGTTGAGTTAGGTTTACCAGTGCTATGCTCAAGTTATAAACGCAGTAATATAACAGGTTTGAAAAATTGATTTTTCTGGGTTTTTTCATTGTAGTGACAAAATATGTTAGTTTTTAGGCCTGTGCAAATAGGGAAGTATTTGATTTGGATTCGGAGGACAGTGATTTGATTCAGAGATTCAGATCACTGCCCTGAATTGATTCAGCCAAATCAGCTTCAGAAGTTTCGGTACTGATTCGGAGACATTCGGTGATTCAGTCAGCTGGGGAGAGGCAGGCACAACTGGGTGGCTGCAGGTTCTCTCATGGCTTCTCTGGCTGTGCCTGCCTCTCCCTGGGTCGTGGGAGCCATGGGAGAGGCCCCCATGGCTGCCCTGCCTAGCCCCCGCCCAGCCCCAGCCTAGTCCTGGTACCTTAAAAAAAAAAAAAAAAAAAAAAACACCCCACAGTGCACAGGGAGGCTCTGTCATGAGCGCCCAGGGGCCCCAGGCAGCAGCAGAGTAGAAGCCCTTGCTCCCAGTGCTGCCATACCCACATCAGCACTGGGAGTGGGGGCTCTGCCCTGCTGCCAGCTGGCACGGGGGAGTGCAGGATGCGGGCACGGCAGCACTGGAAGTGGGGGCTGTGTCCTGCTGCCACTTGTCCCCTTCTGCCTAGAGCGAGCTACGCCTGCATCCAGCCCCCTACCCCGGCTGGGCAAGCGGCAGCAGGACAGAGCCCCTGCTCCCAGTGCTGCTGCTCCTGCATCTTTTAGCCCCTCTGCCCCCCTCCCCAAGTAATGCCCACCCCCGCTCTGGTTGGGTAGCCTGTCCCAGCCCCAATCCCTCCCAACCCCAACAGACTTAGCAGCTGGAGGCAGCTGTCAGCTGCCTGTTTAGTCTATGGCTGAATCTCCGAATCAGCTGAATCTTTTTCTGAACCTTTTCCAAATAGATTCGGATGCTTTGAATCAATTTGGAGCTTTTACTTGGTCTCCTGGTTTGATTCGGATTCGGAGATTTGGTCCCTGAATGGGACTGAATCTCTTCCAAATCGAATCGGCTACTGAAGCTTTACACAGCCCTATTAGCTTTTGTTTTTTAAAGATACATTTAAAGGAACAGCCAACGTTTAAGCATATCATGCCCGACTAATTTGATTTCCTTCTGACAAGGTGACAGGCTCTGTGAATGGGGGGAGAGCAGCAGATGTGATTTTGGGGGTGGGGACAGGCTGTTGAAACTCTCTCCTATGACATTTTAATTAATAAGCTAAGGAAACAGACTAGGTGAAAGTGCTGGAAAGTGGATACATAACTGGTTGAATCCTCTTGTTCAAAGACTAGTCATCAAAGACTCAATGTTTAGTTGGGGGGAGAGGTATCAAGGGGGGTTCCCCACTGGTCTGTTCTGGGTGTAGACTTTAACATCATTAATGATGTGGATAGCAGGTTTGCGTGCATGCTTAGTAAATATGCAGATAACAGTGCAAATTTGTGCAGCCTGCATGGCCCTGGCAGGGAGCTGGGGCAGGCTGGAAGGAGCTGCTGGGCTTCCCCAGGCTTTGTAGTGGTAAATGTGGATGGGAAGGGGTAGGGCAGGTGGACTTGGGGTGCAGGCAACTCTTGAGGGGCATGTCAGAGTACAGGCTGAGGCAGGAGCCCTGTTGTGATTTGGGGGGTGGTTGAGTGGTGGCATGTGGTAGCAGTGAGGACATCTTTCCTTGACTGAGTGTCCCGTTGGCTGGTTTTGGTTCTCTTGGGAAAGAGACTTTATTTTGAGCTATTTTGCAATCGCCTAGATGTACACTACTCAAAAAAAAAAATAAAGACAACAATATTTTTTGAAATAATATATCTTATAGTAAATCTTTGACTTTTAGCATATGATTCATTTATCTATAACTGTGTTAAAATGCCTTTACCATTAATTTTATGCATGTGGCTCTCAACAGCTCACTAAAACTTGTTAAGTGGCCCTCCAGCCAAAATAATTGCCCATCCCTACAGTAAAGTCAGCAGAACTCCCAAAGACTTCATTGGGTACACACTCAGCTCTTTAATGAAGTCAAACACGTGAGGACATGAAAGTACTGCTGAATTGTGCACTACAAATTAGCTTTAGTGAGTCATTGCAGTGGTAGCATTTAAAAGTCTTCTCTCATTTTTGGAGGATTATGACATAGTGAAATAAGCTGTAATTTGAACCATATTTAACATTCCGCTTACTGGGTGAGTTTGAACGCAGGAAAGGAGTGTTCTAACTGTTGTGATGACTATATGATGGTTATAGGGTCATTTCTTTTACATTGTTTCTTTAAAATGTAATTGAAGAATATACTTGCCTGGATTTTTTAAAGGAAAGGAGAATTTCACTAACTTCTTAACTGAAAAAGTTTTTATTGAGGTAAGATTTTGGTATTTTTCTTGAAATATGAATGACATTCTGAAATGTTGTTCTAAGCAGATTCAACTCTAGAGTTGAATCTGATTTATGAAAGAAGAATTTGACTCTTTGTTTAATTCCTATGCTCACGAAGCTTGTTCTGGTTTTTCAGAGCTAGCTCTATGGGTGGGGTGGGTGTGTGCATGTGTGTGTTCATTCACTGCACAATTAACCTGGACGTTTCTGTGTATTAGCTCAAACCCCTTAACCTTTCTCATAGGAAACCCTCTAACCTGGATCTGGAACGACTCTAAGCCCATGCTGGTTTAATGGGAGGAACTAGTTAAAATCCAAGGTCCTCCTAAACTGAGGCAGGAGCCTGCCCACTTAAAGGATGCAGACAAAATCACTTTGGGGTACTGATCTAGCTCTAGCACCGT